ATTCTGACCATTCTGGCTCACAGGCAGTATAAAATTTCAGTATACTCTCCTTTAACATAGAAACAGCAGTATAAAACGCAGGTGTAAATTCTTACTTAAAAGGAAAGAGAATTTCATGTACACAGTTTCACCTCAAACTCAAAACTATGTACTGCTTCCCCCCATTTTCCAGCCTTCTCACTGTTTTCGTCTACTGTCATTGTCAGCAAGGGATTTTTATTCACTTGTCTACTGCTAACTCAGGGTGGATTGGTTTGAAATAAAGATGATTTAATCAGGCTGATTATCTGAATAAAGAGTGCATACCAACAGTGCAATACTATGCATATCTACTCTGAAGTTCAATGGGGCTTAATCCCAGGTAAGTGTGTATAAGGATTGCAGCTTAATTGTTTGATAGAACGTTAGTGGGGTGGGACCACTGCTCAGTGGTACAGCTTTTGTTAGGCATGTAGAAAGTCTGCGGTTCAGTTCCTGGCATCTTCAATAAAATGGATCTTGGGTAGAAGTTAATGGGAAAAAGCAGCTGTTCAGTGTAGATAATATTAGGCTGGATCAACAAAAGCTCTGATGGTAAGGTGATTTTATATAGATTTCAAACTTTAATAAACAAGCCTTCATTCTACCTAGGAGTATAATCTGACATTTCTAATCATGCAGATCTTATTACTTTGCATTACATCATTTTGTATATGAAAGGACAAATAGTGAAATCTGGTTTTCTATGCATGTGCAAGGATTTTTCAAGATTAGGAGTCTTATTTTGAAAAACACTGACCATTTTGCCCATAACTATAACTCTAAACTAGACTGGTGCCTTAACTACAAGGAAGTAAAGCAGACAAAACTAATTTTGCCTATGTTGTTTCATAGCTACTACATTTGACACCAACCACACTTTCCCCATAGCCTTTGACTTTAAATCATTGTGTGATAGTTTTTAGAATTGTACAAATTTGTCATGTTTGTATTAAATTTTGGTTTCACTTAAAAGCAGACAGGCCGTTTTAAAAAAGTGACCTTTCATATAACTTTAATTGGTTTACCTTTAAGATGGTTTTATTTAACACTGCTGTAACCTCTCCTCTCCTCTCCTCTATAGAAGTCATCATTCTAGTCTTTATTTAAGAGCTTTGCTTACTTTTACTTGTTCTTCACTCACTCCTCTCATTTCTATGCCTTTATATACAGTGGTGCCCCGCAAGACGAATGCCTCACAAGACGAAAAACTCGCTAGACGAAAGGGTTTTCCGTTTTTTGAGTCCTTCCGCAAGACGAATTTCCCTATGGGCTTGCTTCACAAGACGAAACGTCTTGCGAGTTCTTGCGAGTTCCGTTTCGTTTTTCTTAAAGCCACTAAGCTGTTAATAGCCGCTAAGCCGTTAATAGCCGCTAAGCCGCTAATAGCCGTGCTTCGCAAGACGAAGAGACTCTTGCGAGGCACCACTGTATATTGCTTGGTCAAAAGAGAGAATGGCCTCCCACATTGATTGGGTACTAGGGAAAGCAGGTTTGTATCCCAGTTCTATGTATTTTATGCAAAAGTATGTCCTACTGAATTCAGAAGGGCTTACTTTCAGATAAACATTGCAGCCACACAGGACTGGGCTGCCCAAATAACAGAGGAACAAAGGGAAGACCTAATGTATTGTGCTAATTGTGGCAATAAATATGGACTTTAAAGGGATACTTTATTGCATCTCAAACTGTTCAGTGTAGTTCTAACTATTTACAATAGATGCTTTCTGTCTGGGCAAGCAGTTGGCTGTACATCTGTCTGCACATCTAGATTTAGGCTTTTGGTGCTTCTCCTTGAGCTTTTCCAACCCAGCTGGTCATCAGAATAACTTGTAACTATTAATCTCCTCCTTCCAAATCTGTTTTACAATTTTTAGATTGTAAAATGAGGCACACAGATTGCCTCATTTAAGTTACCTGTAAGTCACTTTCAAAGCCTTTTTTTTTGGTTGAAGAGTGGGATAAAAATGCTTTAAATAAATAAAAATATAGAGTGCTGGATTTGCAAGTAACCAGAACCATAGCTCAATTATTTAGATTCTATAGCTGTCACTCTGCAAAGTTTGTGAAAACAAGAGGCTGTCCTTAAACAGTGCTATATATAAAAAGAATTAATACAAGATAATTTAGGATATGCAGGGAAAGATGAAAATTACTTTAAGGAACTGCAGAAAGGGGGGGAGGGAATTCAAGGCTTGAAATGTTAAAATTATTGTTGAACGACTTGTGAAATGTTTTTCTTTTTGTTATAATCTAAAATTATAAAAAACAACAACAGTGCTATATTCATGACTTAAAGAGAACTATTAACACTGAGTAGGATTAAGGCATGCTTTTTTGTTTGCTGAAGGGATTCTAATCCAGTGGAAGCAAATATTTAATGTTTGAATTTATATTAGATGTAAGAAAGTTTTGTGGAAAACCTTTATTGGTATAGGAACATATGCTATCCTTTGTAGCTTCTTTTCCTTATAAAATTGTGTCAATTTTTTTTTTAAGCTTGCAAATACAGAAGAATATATTGATGGTGCATTATCTGGACACCTTGGTGAAGTTCTGATAAGGTAACTAACATTAGAATTAACGGTATTTACATGCTGTGTGTGTCTGCGCACACACACACACATGTGCATGTTAAAATCCATTAATTAGAATATTAAAATACTGATACCAGAAATTTATACTACTTAAAATGCAACGTGAAGCAGACTAACTTTGGTGAGAAGAAATTATTTCAGGTGTTCTCTGAAATCTGTGCCATCTTTCTGGTGATGGAAGGAATCTCAGTGGAAGAGGGGAGGGGCAATTTTTAGCAATTACCACATTTTTCCATCTATAAGACGATGTTTTTTACCCAATTTTTTATGTTTGAAAATGTGGGTCGTCTTATCCATGGAATATAGCAAATAAATAAATACAGTACTTGCTCTAACAGTCACATATCCTGGCAGTGACGAGCCACAGGGCCTCCATAGTCTGCTTGCCTCCTCCCACTCTGTGTGCCCTACAGCTGGGAGGGAGGCTGTAGGCAGTCCGTTTTTGCTGTGCGCCATCTTCGCATGGCTCCATTTGTGCGCGGGAAGCGCAATGTTACACAGGAGGAGCGCGGCGATTGAAGTAATATCCCCACCTTTGCACCTTTCACATCAGCGAAACATCGTGCTTGGCACTCCTGTGTAACATTGTGCCACCCACATGCAAATGGAGCCACGCGAAGACGCCGCGCAGAAAAAACAGATCATACACTGCCTCCCCACACAGCTGTAGGGCAGGCACAGTGGGAGGAGGCAAGCAGACTAAGAATGCCCCACAGGAAAGGCGCTGCCGCTCAAGTTGGCTGCGGCGATCGAAGATATCTCTCCCCTCTGTGCCTTTCTTGCCTCCTCCCACTCTGCCCACCCTACAGCTGTGGGGGAGGCTGCGTGCAATCTGGTTTTTTCTGCATGGTGTCTTCGCGCAGCTCCATTTATGTGTGGGCGGCGCGACGTTACACAGTAGGAACACATGGTGCGATGTTTAACTGATGTGAAAGGTGCAGAGGGGGCAGTATTACGTCAGTCGCCGTACTCCTCCTGTCTAACGTTGCGCTGCTTGCACACAAATGGAGCCGCGCAAAGACACTGCACAAAAATGGACTGCCTACAGCTTCCCTCCCAGCTGCAGGGCGGGCAGAGTGGGAGGAGGCAAGCAGAGATAGGTGAAAAGTGCTAAAAGTAATTGGGGGGAAAACAGGGAACAGCTGATAGGTGGCATGTTAGATGTGTGTGCAGCTGTTAGCCTCTGGGGATCCTCCCCCCCCCAAAAAAAATTCAACAAGTCAGGGCAATTTCCCCCATTTTCTTAATTTAGTCCCCCAAAATAGGGGGCGTCCAATACACGGAAAAATACGGTATCCAGATTGCTGACCTCCTCTCAGTATGTTGCAGGGGGTTTTCTTGTCTCATTGACAGTGTAATTGTGATGGGTGAGGTGGCAGAGAGCACTGAAAATTGTCTTAGTCCCCTGTACCAATGGCTTACTTCTGTCAGTAGAAAGACAGTACAGTGGTCCCTTGGTTTAAGAACAGCTTAGTTTATGAACAACTTGGATTAAGAACACTGCAAACCTGGAAGTAGGTGTTTGGGTTTGTGAACTTTGCCTTGGAAGCAGAACATGTTCCGCTTCCTGTTAAGTGTGTTCCATTTATAAATTGAGTCCCCCGCTGCTATGAGAAATCTCACCTTGGTTTAAGAACACTTTGGTTTAAGAACAGACTTCCAGAACAGATTAAGTTCGTAAACCAAGGTACCACTGTACTGAATGTTACCTGTATGTAGAGTTGCTTTATTATTTCTTTCTTATGCAACTGAAAGAGAAGCATTTGTGTAATAGTAAACCTATAAAGTTTAGTATTTAAGCCTACACCAATGATAGCAATTGGAAAAAAATTGTAACAAGCTGTATGCAATGAACAAAGGTAAATTTTTATTTATTACCAATTAAATCGAACATAGCAGCAAACATAGAATACTTCAAAATAACTTGGTATATGAAATAGAGGGGATGTGTAACTAGCTTTAGAAAACAATCTTCCAAACTCATGTGGATCACAGCAGAACTAAGTAACTTTTGGTTTGATTTGCAGGTGCAATAATGTCCTTTATATAAGGGGTGTGGAAGAAGAAGAAGAAGATGGAGAAATGAGAGAATAACTATTTTGGGGGGAAAGCTGCTGTTGTTTTTTGACTGTGCTAAGAAATTTAGTTGTCCGGTTTTGTTTGCTTGCTTTTTTTGTCAAGTTTTGTCAAGTAACATTTTTTATGGCCAAACAATAAACATTGTCATTGAAGAAAAATTACCACTATGGAAGAAAAATAAACATACTATTTCCGACAGTTCTTAATGGATAATTATATTATAGTCAAACAAATATGTATTTTAAAAGGAAACTGGATCAAACATCTGTCACAGTTTACCTACTATAACTCTGCTAAACAGAGCTAGAATCAAGATCTAGTGCTATTCCAAAAAGAAATGTCATGAAACAAGAAGAATTCAACAGAAATAGTAATCATCTTCACTTTTTGTAGTTAAATCTACAACTTGTACCCCTTTTTGTTTAGCTTCTGGAGGCTGGGAGCGGAAAACCAGTTTTCTTCCCACCTAAAATGAAGACAGAAAATATAAACCTACTTTGTTAAATCAGCATGAAAGTTTTTATTTGTAAACTTTTTTCTATAATACAGATTCTAGATTCTTTTTAACATGCACACTATCACCATGTTGCAGTGTGCCCCTAACCATTTTTACTCAGTATTGGGTACTACTGAGTTCAGTAAGATTTACAGCCTAAGATATATTTTTAAGCACTCCTACTAACCCTTGTCTTTGGTACTGCAATTGCTCTTTCCAGAGCATGCTTCAGCCGTTCTTCCTGGATTCTCTTCAGTTCTTTCAATTTATCTTCACGAACTCTTTTAAGAATCAGAGAGAGATTTTAGGAATTAGAGGACGTTAGCATATTGTGAGAGGGAAGTGTCCACATCTTCTCCCTCCAGTGATGCAGCCTTGAATTGTGCCTATGCTTGTAAAATTCAGCATTACTGTGGTAACAAAAATGAGGGAGCTAGAGACAGTTTTGTGCACAGAATTTCTAAGGGATAAACTAGTTGCAACACCGTTCGCACTGTGAGCAATTGGTGAATTGATTAAAAGTGGCTGATACACTTCAATTCTTTCCCTCCTGCTCCAGCCTTAGTCTGAATTGTTGCACTAGTGTTTGCTATTTGAATTGAGAGGAAAGCACTGGCAATAACTGTATTGCTAGAAATAGCAAGCCCCAGGGACCGGGCCTGGATTGACACCTCCATGTCTGCTATTTACCCAGATCCTACGTAATTGCTAAATTATGTGAATGATGTTATGTCTAGTCTGGCCCTAAGAAGGTGGGACAACTAATAATTTATAAAATACTTATAATACTAGGGTGGGGGTGTCCATCTAAACAGAAATCATTTTCACTTTGTGAAACTCTAATGCCTATAGGCTAAAAACTGGTGACTGTTGTCTCAAAAGTTTGGTCCAGAAGATAGTGTTGCAAGCTCAGATGTGACTAAGTGATGGGAATACATAACTGGCATACTTCTTTAAGCACTGGCATTAAGGTTACCTCTGCCGTCTTTGTTTTGCTCGGAGTTTCTCCATAGTTTCAACAGTCTCAAGGTATTCCGGTGGAAGTATTTCCAACATCTCACACAGTTCTGAAACTCTGATTTCTATTGCTTTCAGCATTTGAAAGGCGGTCATGCTGGATACTTCAATCGTTCCACAGCAAGCCCTATACACCTCTGTTATTTTTTTCTTAAGTGTATTCAGCGATTTATCCTTAAGATTTAAGAAAGGGATTTTATGTAAACCACAGCAAATGCTTACATTATACTAAACAAAAAAAAGTCTACACTGAAACTTTAAAATAAGATGAACTCGCAAGCAATATAAAAGATATAACCATTTTCTAAATATAATATAGACACATCATTCTACAATCCTAAAAAGTGAAACAGTCCTGAAAATGTTATTGCCACTTATTCAGCACATAAGGCAAAACCATAAGAGAATTGGCAGAATAAGGCACACGGATTGCAATGTTAAGTCAATGCAGTGTTGAATGTCAAGTAGGATTAAATCCAATAAAGGCACAAATAAATATAGTAGCTCAATGCGTTTTTTGAGCTTTTGGGGGCTCTCCAGGGGGAAATGTGTTTTTACAATACTATAGGGACGTAATTCCTGTAGATCCCTCTTCCAAATCATTGTCATTGGAGTACCCTGGGAAAATAACTTCCTGCAATTAGAAACTAAACCAGCTCAGGGAGTCCCTGATACGCCTTGAGATATCTTGTTAATTGTGCAACTAAAAACTAGGAGAACCCCTGAATCACATGGAGCCGGTGCACATTCCTGTTTCCAGTATATGCCTACACCACTACTTCTGTGTCCACTTTTTGGGCACCAGGTAGGATGCCAGTGTTGGGCTCCCTGGTACTGTATCCCCTAGCTATACTGGCCCTGGTTCAAACTGCTACACATAGGTAATGTGGTATCACATAGACAAATTGTGATACTTCTACCCAAGTCATTAGGGATAGTATTAAACTGAGCTTTACTCAAAGCAGACCGGGTCTACTCTGAGTAGGAGAAGCACGGAATACCACTGGCACTGTGGTCTTGTAGGCTGTCAAGGTTTTTAGAACTGAGAGAGCTATTCTATGTTATAAAGATTGTATAAATATACAAAATTACCATGGATATTGGATTATAGTCTCCGGAAGAAAATACTTTGATTTTTAATTCCAGTTCAGCACTTTTCTGTTCTTCTTTGAGGCGAGCAGCTGTAAGAGCTTTTTTCTCATTTACTATATCATTTATCCTTTTTTCCCTATAAAAAAGGCTGTGAAAAGTTGTAACTAGTATTCAAAACTATTTTGTAGATTAGTTTTTCTGTGCAATAACCCAATTCTCATATTCTGGCTGTTCTAGGCAAAGCAGCATTTTTATTCTACAGACTTTTAACAGGTTTAATAGGATTTCTGTCTCCCCAGGAAATTCTGAGAATAGTAGTTTAGTGATGATGGGCAAAGATCTCTCAGAGCTTGTGCAAGTGCTGCTACAAGATGGTTAACGCTTGTAAGTGGCCTACCTGTATAAACAGAATAGGTTCAAGGGGAGTGAACTCATTAAAAATCACTCATTGACTAGAAAAACCATTGTTTTTCTTTTTTAAAAAATTCAAGATACCTGTAAAACAACAGGGACATACTTGTGCAAATGGTGTTGATATTAGAGAAAACGTTTAGCATGGAAACGTATATATACATCTTAAATAAAAAGATGTAAAAAGACTGATGATGGCATTGAAATTGTTCAGATGCTTTCGTCAACAAACTGAAAGTTGAAACGTACTAACCCTCATCTTGAACACCTACAGTCCCCAGCAGTATTTACCTCCTAGTCACTGGGGGGGACGGGACCCCGCCTCTCCAATAACGTTGATATTTTCAATATCAATTGCACTATGTTCCACCAATATTCAGTGTTAGAAACTCAAGATATAAAATCTAATCGCCAAATGGCACCTTAAACCTAGGTTACAGTCACCACAATGAAATGTCTAGGTGCCTTTTTTGCAATAAACTCTGCTAATATTATTATTCATTTCTAGGCTGCTTTATATTTTAAAGAACAGATCTCAAAGCAGTTTGCAAGACATTAAAACATCAAAAACAATCCAGAATAAAGCAAATTCAAGCTTCAAGGAAAATTATTTCCAATCTTTCTCTAAGGGACACCATGTGGGGATCTGTTAACCCAGTTAACAGATCCCCACATGGTTGCAATTGGACCCACACCAGTTGCAAAACACACCTGGTGCCTGGCTAATTTCTAACACTGCCAATATTGTATGCTCCACTGTGGAACTAGTCCAGGCTGAAGTCTCCTAGAACTGCTGATTGGCTGTTCAAACTGGTCCATTAAGAAGCCATGGGTGTTCTGTTTAAGGCATAGTTAACCCTAGTGCCCTACAGATGTTTAGGGCCATAACTTCCATCAGCCCCAGCAAGCATGGCCAAAGTCCAGGTCTGTGCAACTGTATCTGAAGAGTGCCATATTGGTTATCTCCGATTTAAGGAATGGGTGTAAAGGCTACTGCTAAATAACTTGGTGATTGTCTTTTATCCCTGTCTGTGCTGCTTTTCTGCTCTGGCTTTCAGCATGATAACTTCCTTTGTTTATGACTTGCTATGGTGCTTCAGCTGCTACCAACCTCAAGCCTAAACTAATCCATGGTCTGCAGTTGTGGTGGGGAACAGCACATTCCCATCTCATTCCATCAAAGCCACTTCACTCTCCTCTTTCGGAGCCCAGCAAAGCATTCCCTGAATTGATGAGATTTCTGCTACACATTAACTCTACTTCTATTTTTACAAAGTTCTGTCCTCTTGTCATGTTAGTTTTCTATATAGTGGCAAACACATTGGCTTCACTAAACAAATATGTAGTAGTCGTGTTAGTAGAAGGGAAGGGGACCCACTTTGTACCTGAGGAGGAACAGAAGCAGCGTATTTCAAAACGTTTCACTTTTAAATAACTTACATTCCCTGAACAATGGCGTGTTCTCTCTGCCGTGCGTCTTCTAGTGTTCCACTGAGATCTTGAATATTTTGAAACAGTGATAGATTTTGTTCCTCAAGATGCCTGTACATCTGAAGCAACTCATCTGGATCTTTGAAATATATCTCTGGTTCCTAATGCAGGAGAAGGAATACTATAGAGTTGCTGAAAAATGAGTCATATCAATGCAGTTGCAAACAGTTCTTGATAAAATAAAAATTGTTAAAAATGGGAGGGGAGATTTTTAACACTGGGCTGCATTAGGTATGACAGATTGCACTTGCCTTGCTACTAAATTTTAACAAAAAATGTTAAAAATTATTGTCCAAGTGAAGGCCAATTCACAAGTTCTTTTTCTGCTGCACGTTAATCTCAGAACACTGCCTTGAAGCCAGATTCCCTTATGCAAGTCCACAGCATACTTGCAGGTATGAATACGAATATGCAAATTCTTGATCTAGAGGGCCAAGAACACTGAAATCTATACAGAAAGTTCCCTTAGGTATGAAGAATTTACATTTCAACATACGGATGGAATCCATACATGCAGGAATCTTACAGCCATGCTTGCAGCCAGTGGCTACCTCCTAGCAGTTTTGGCCCAGAGGTTGTGAAGATGTTGTACAATTGAATGAAAAGCAACAAAAGGTCCCATTTTTATAGGATGTTGTTGTATTTAACAAAGATTAATTCATCACCTCATCAGTGTCTAGATCTTCAAGCGAAATATCATCATCTGAAGAGGCAGAGATACTTTTTTCACTTGCACAGCTGTTATAAAAGGAAAAATTAATTCAGATTTGTGTTTATACATTGAAGTTTGCCAAGTCAGTGCTCAGTGGTGGAAGGAACGTTGTGTTCGATAAAATCGAGACCTTGTTCTTTGTAAGCCCAGGCTAACCAACGTGCAGTGCTCCCAATGATGTTATGATTCCAACTCCCCGCAGTCCCCGCTGACACTCTAGTTCACATGCCGGTAGCCAGGGGGATGATAGATGGGAGAGCTGGCGCCCAAAAGCAGAATTGTACAACTACAGTGGTACCTTGGGTTGCAGATGCTTCAGGTTGCATGTTTTCGGGTTGCGCACTGCGCAAAAACCCGAAAGTACCGGAACGGGTTACTTTCAGGTTTCGGCGCTCGCTGCAGGTTGCGAATGTGCCTCCCGCATGGATCACGTTCACAACCAGAGCGTCCACTGTACTTCCACGTGCCCCAAAGGGATAAGCGCTTCTCTTTCTTGAAAAGAAGCTCTTTATGTTACATCTACAACCCGAAACGGAGAGAACTTTTAAAAGCAATTAAATTTCATAGAGTACCTTGCTAGCGATTTTTTTCTCCCTTCTATTGAGAATCTTTTGCTCAGTGATAGTCTTGATGCCCTCTTAAAAAACCTGTAGTCGCCTCCTTCAAAAATTAACAAGTCTGTATTATTACCTTTATTCGGCAACAGGGTTATAAGAACTATATTACATATCTTACGTTATTTTCATTAATATCGGAGTGCCTATCCTGTGGCCATCCAGATTTTGCTGGGTTACAATTCCTAATTGTAACGCTGGGTGGGGTTGCTCTGAACTGGAGTCCAGTAACATCTTTAGGGCCACAGCTTAAGACACCCTTGCCTTATATTAAAGACAGGATGTGGAGCTGCCTTAAAGAAAGACATCGGGATCCTGCATACAAGTATTCGTTGTGCAGCTAGTGCCTGTTAAACTTTGCCCAAATGAACTGTTGCCTGTATTCAGAACTAGAAAGGCTTCCCTGCCACTAGCATTTACCATGGGGGGGAAAGGTAAGGGCGCGGGGGTATTTTGTCTGCCTTAACTTATTTCGCCCTATCATTCCTTATGTATCACTTCCTGAGTTTTGCTTAAATAAGAGGTGGTCCCTGATCCCATTTGCCATAATGTGAGTGGCTGAAATTCCTTATCGCCTTCCTTCAGCTACTCTCTGTGCGCAAGCTCCAGTCGACACTTAAATTACAGAGCGGAAGCTTCCCTGGTGGAAAGAGCGATGTATTCCCTCAAACTGTTGCTGTACAGATGGGCAATGGGAGGCGTATGATTCACAGCACACAATTTAAGGCTCTTAGATCATATACAGCTGGGACACAATCCAATACTCAACATACTTTGGTGGCAGGGATGGTGGGACGAATTAGAGAAGCCCTGGTATTCCATCACAAGCCCAAATATGTCTCTCCCAATGATGATATGCCAGCACAACGTCACAGATATACTGGTACTACTCCATACTGGCAGAGTGGCCAAAATGTAGTGGAGGGGGGCGGGGGAGACTGATCCCATCCCCAACACTGGGGGATAACATTATGCCAACTTCAGAAGTGGGGGTGGGGAATCAAAAGCTGCATGCAGAAGTTAGCAGAGGGGAAAGCTCCATTGCCTGCCCCATTTCTGACTGCCCTGGCAATGGTGGATAAGGCATTTGGTCGAATCCTTAGTCTGTTCCCAGGAGGTGATGCATCACCGCCTTTGATCAAGTGCAATACCTCAAGGTACCCCTGGGGATCTGGGAGGAAGACTCTGTCCAGAAGCCCAGATGGGGAGTGGGTGTTTCATGGCTGAGTGGAGATTTGAACCTGGTCTAATGCTCTAGCCCAGGGGTCAGCAAGGTTTACCTGCCATGGGCCGGATCACTCCCACGGAGATCGTCCGTGGGCTGGACTGGCACAGCGTGATACCAGAAATCACGTCTGCGCATCTCTGTGGCGCTGGAAATCGCTTTTGCACATGCCCAGACGCCGGAAATCGCACCTGGACAGACGCGATTTCTGGTATCTGCGCATGCGCAGAAGTGATTTCTGGCACCGCTTGACGAGTGCCTGCGCTGCACTGGGGACTCGCCGAGCAGGTGGTTCAGGGCGGCTTGTGGGCCGGTAAAACAGTCTTTGTGGGCCGCATCCAGCCCATGGGCCACACGTTGCCAACCCCTGCTCTAGCCACTACACACCACTGTGGCTCTTGCAGCCCTTGCTCCATTCATAATACGGTCCTGCCTGGAATATCTGGTGCAGGCAAAGATGATATTCCTACAAGAAAGTCCTTCTTCCCATTGGCTCCTTACCTTGGCTTTTATGATGGTCTTTCTTCACATCAGTTTCAGAAAAAAATACTGACGTCAATGATGAAGGTAGTAGTTTCTTGGGATGTTGTTGCCCTTTGACATGAGCCCATTTGTCTAAAGACGCGGTTCAAACAGCACAGAAATATTTGGTAGTAAGTAACTTGATAGGCTATTTATACACACCAGCTTGCTAAATCCAAACCAGAGTGGGTCACACCCACACCATACTTTTAAAGCACTCATACTGTATACTGGTTTAACAGTCATGGCTTCCCTCAAAAAATCCCAGGAACTTTAATTTGTTAAGGGTGATGACAGCTAGATAGAACAAATGGTCTAACTTGGTATAATAAGACCATATCCTTCAAGTACCAGAGCCAAACTGATGGTGAGGAGAAAAGGAAGGAAGGAGGAAGGTTCACAGAGAGCAGGGACACCACTGTGAGGTAAAAGTTGGAGGGGAAAAGTACAATAGACACAAAACAAAGGCTAGAAAGTTGTTGTTTTTTTTAAATCTCTCTAATACAAGGTAAACGATGAGAAAAACCAAGGCTCCTAAAAAAACCAGTCACACCCAACCTTCACTGACTCTAGGCAGGACCAGTCAGACCCTGAGGTGGAAGAGAAGGCAGAAGGCTGACAAGGACTGCCATCCCATCAGTTGGGAATGTCGAGTTTGCATCATCCAGCAAACTAGAATACTGCTTCACTGGTCTTCACTTTATACATCAATGGGGCAGATATGGGAACAACATTGATCCTTAGACATTGTTTCTCAGTTTCCACTCTGGGAGAATTGAAAAAAGGGGGAACTGAAGTGACTTATATAACATGCAATATAAGTTTCTAGTGGACAGTACTAAAATGACATACTTACTTATTTTTTGGTGTAATATGAAGGAAGTAGACCCCATCCTGCTTTTCTCACGAGCAGGAAAAGAAAGCAAAGACTTTGAAACGTCTCTTTTATCCTTTTTCAATAGCTTCTTTTTTGCCATCTGTTGTTCTTGCCACTCTTTAGGAGACACACTCAACAAAAAAGCTTCGTAGGATAAATACAGTCTCAGATTATCTTCACTGTTTGCAATTTCACTGCAGACATGAAAGGATGATAGTTTATAAGCAAGCAGACAGTCATATTTTAGTGAAGTACAACAGCTAAATGTTATAAAAAAAATAAACTGACATTATTGTAATAAACAATGCAAAAGCAAATGAACGAGTTTTTATCAGAGTTATGGGAGTCACCTTAAGGTTTGTTTCATCTTAACATTTTGAGCTATGCTAACTCTAATTAAGTCTGAATCTTAATATATACACACACACACATTTATTTCTACCTGCTGTTTGTGTGCGGGGTGGCAGCAGCGTGCAACAATATTGTGTGTTAGTATTTGAATTCTATTATTTTGAAAGCATTGGATCCATAGCTATCCTGCCTAAAAGAGGTATTTTCTATTCAGAGAAGGGCTTTGACATATTATGTGCAAGCCTTGAGCAATATAAAAAAGAACTAAATGCATAGCTAGTATTCCACTTGTGCAAGCTGTAGTATGAAAACTGCTATAGAAGTTATCCCTTATCTGACTTCTTGTAGTTTGAAAACCAATTAGGAACTGCACTAAGAAGTGTTGAATAAGTGAATGACTTACACATAGATGTATAAACACCCTGCAAGCAAATCAGGATGAGCACTCATTGCTGCATAACCACCTCCCCCAAAAAACTGGCAGCAGCCTAGGTTATGCTTTGCTAAATATGTGAAATAAAGAACTCACCTTTTAAGAGAGAACACCTCATTCATTGCTGACTTCACTTCCGCTGTCACCTCCATTTTAGCTTTTGCTTCATGAGCTGCACTAAAAATAATATAGATGTTGTAATTCTGGGTGCATATAGGCAGATTTTAAAATAGAAACACATTTTTCTGCCTGCACCCCCCCAGAAAATAGATGAACAGTCTGGTTTGCTTTTGTCCACAAGTAGCACAAATCTGCAATCACTCTGAAAACCAGTTTCAGACTGTTACGTTAGTAATCAGTGCATTACAAAACCAATGAACATTTTCAGACTGACAAATTATTCCGCCAATGACAGTCACACCTTGCACAGCACATTTAAAAACCTCTCAATGTCGGTATGGAAACTTGCAGCCATAAGAATCAACCAGAAATGCCTCACCTCTTAAAAGTCAACAGACTAGAGGAAATAACATTAGAGAATGAAGCAAACACCAACCCATCTCGTCAAAGCCATTCTGCCCAAGCTTGAGGTAGAGGCCCTGCTCTCCCCCACCAAAACTTGTAACACCCTTCCTGCTGACACCCGTTCATCTTGCCCTCTTCCTGCACACAGCTGGCTACTGAAAACTGAACTATTCAAGCGAGCTTCTAACATTTTGATGAACTGCTGTTTCAAATATATATAATTCGTCTGATGCCGTTGTCAGTTCCTTATTTGTAGGTACAGTATAATGACCTCCCCCCCCCCAATTCATTATTCTTAGGTATATTAGCAACAACTGGGGCAGAGACATCACATTTCAACAACTACATCAGCAAAAAGTAATCTCTGGTCAAACATGATGCTGGGATCTGATGGGGCAATCTCCTAGTGGCAGTGTAGAATGATCTGGGGTGGTCGAAAGCTTGTTTTTGGATGTAAAGTCCCCAAGTTTCTTACTTGTGAGCGTACTAGCAAGAAAAGAAAACACTGGCTGGGTCACATCATGCTTGAAGAATGTCTGCTACAGCGATACAGCGGGCCCACGTGGCCTTCCTGTTCTTTGCAATGGCTACTGGGGCAGCCTGTGTCAGCACATTTGCGTGGGAAGGTAGGAGGGCACAAACAGGACCACCAAGCCCTGTGAGAATTCTCCGTGTGCAGGCCCTGCAGTCAAACCATCTAGGTTGTTATTAATAATAGAAATTGCAACAGAGTGTCTAACCTTTTAAGAGCATCAACAGAACGTCTGTCGTTTTCTTTGAGAAACTCATCAAATGCTATCGCATCTTCTTCTAATTTTGTTTCGGCGAGTTTGGCCCTCCTCTCTTCCTCCGATATCATTTCCTCCAGCTTGGCTATGGTGCGTTGTTTCGTTTTAACCGCATACTGGGAAGGGGAAACCATTGCAAAAAGTTAAGCACAAAAGGATCTTCGTATTCAAGCACCTTGCAAAGCTGAATGCCATTCCAATAGCAAAAAAAGGATGCGTAAGGCCTGGTCGCTACTCTTTCACATTACTACCCTGAAGGCTTTTCGATCGAGCATTCTCATCCTAACAGCAGTGAAGTTAATAGTCCTATCAGACGGCTAGTGCATGCTACAGAGAAACCATATTCTCATTAACTTAAGGGTAAATCGGGGTTTATGGAATCTTTGGGTTTTTAGTCAGAAACTTTTTTTCTGTCTTCCCTTGGGCAGGTTTATTATGCTGTTAATTGTGCATGGGGCCAGAATGGAATACTCAGGCTTATTCACTAACCAATATAATTAGTCAGGACACTAAATAGTAAATAATGAAGGGATAGTTGAGAATTAAGACAGTGAGTGCGTATTAAAGGATGATTTATTCCAAACAAAATCAGTGCCATTACAGCCACCATGTTTAGTGCTCAATTGCTTTGATTTAGTGATCTGTTCTGAAATAAACAGAAATGTTCCAGTGTGTAGCTGAAGCTCCTGTAACTAGAACTTTCCCATTTTTAAGTGCACCAACTACACGAAACAAAATGGTTACCTCCAGTAGAAACAACTCTTTCTGTTCATTGATGTATTCTGTTATAGACTGCTTATCACTCTGAATACCTTTAAAACAGTTAGAATTGTTAGATTCCATCTTCAAACCTCTGCAATTTGTAGGTTTAAAGAAACTTAATGTGTACTCAATTATAAACAATATTTGAAGTATAACCATCTTTCCAGATATTATGTGGCTATCTTGGATTCACTAGTTTTGCATACTATCTCAATTTGGACCCAAAGCCAAACCATGGTTAACACTGTTAGGATATTTCCGTTCCACCTTAAAATGGAGCAGGCTGTGAGTCACAGAGTCTGCGTATTTCCTGTTGCACAGGATGTTTATGGTTTTCAGTTGCTTTCGTTTCTTCTTCGTGCCTGAACGCTGTAGCAGGCGGTCATGTCTTTTCTTTGTTCTGACCAACATTGAATAAACTGTAAATATGCTCTCCTGCTGTGCATCTTTTGCTGTGTGGATTCTGCTGAAAGAGTGTGCACCAGCCTAAGAATGTGGCAAGCTATTTCTGAGGCTTCATGTCGCTAATTGCTGATACTGCGTGACTGCGTGACTACGGGAGATCGATGGATCGTCCGGCAGCCGGCTTGGGGGCTCAGATGGATGTTATCTCCCTGGCAGTATCCCAACAAACACACCTATGATTTGGTGCGATACCTGAATCAATGAACCATGGTTTGTGATGAGTCAGCAAACTAGAATCAGAAAGAGGTTTGCCATGATATTTGAATTGAGAAGCTATATATCTTAAATTACAGGTCCTATAGTATATAAATTAGTCTATAAACCAGTTAATCACAAGATCCTGCATATGAATAGTTGAAAATTCTTGGTAAATACAAGATCTGGTAAACTCAGATTTATATTTTTGTAACTCATTTTACTCACACTTTGCAAAAGCAAGATTCCAGTCCAGGGCAGAAGTCTCTTTCTCTATTTCTTGTTTTGTTTCTCTTTCAATGGCTTCTTCCAGCTTCTTGAGAGCCTTTCGAGACCTAGCTCTTGATGAAAATGTGCTCTTTTCATGCACCTTCAGATTGTGTTGAACTGTTCTAACCTGAAATTGAAATCCATGTTATCCAGCTTTAGAGAAAGGAAATCTCTTCTCTCACTTAAACTTCACACTTAACTGAACTAGATGAGACACCCAAGACCCATGATTGGATCTACTGAGTGATGTATAAAAGTAGACATGGGGGAGGAAAAAATGGATCAAAGTCACTGTGCTGGGTGTGGGTGTGTGAACTTTTCTCCACACACCATTTCACTGACTGAAAAGGCTCTAAGTTATGCAAGTCCAAACAAATGTGAACTTTGAATGATGCCAGAGGCTAAATGACAGCCAATACAACAGCCCAAAAATTGGTTTAATATGTTTTCTTCTTCCAAGCCCTCAAAGTTGCAGCTTCTGAAGAATATTTGAGGATGCTAAGGTGTGGGTGTGGGTGTGGGTGTGACTATGAGTGAATGCATGGACACATGAGTGTGGGCATTTCACCCAGAAGAGTGAGTCTCATGCAAAAAAAATATTTAAAAAAATAGCCACCCATCCACATCCAATTAACAGATTTACATGCTTAGAGGATAACATTGACTCATAACATTCTTTTACAACTGTTGCCATTATATGAATTACAGTGGTACCTTGGTTTATGAACTTAATCCGTTCCGGAAGTCCGCTCTTAAACCAAAGCGTTCTTAAACGAAGGCGTGCTTTCCCATAGCAGCGGGGGACTCAAGTTCACAAACCAAGGCAAAGTTCACAAACCAAAACACTTACTTCGGGGTTTGTAGTGTTCTTAATCCAAGTTGTTCATAAACTAAGCTGTTCTTAAACCAAGGTACCACTGTATTGGGAGAAGTATGTACTATCTCTACACAAAACTACCATTCTGCCCCACTTTCCCAACCTAATAGGGCAAACGTTTTAAATAATAAGTACATGAAGGTATGGGAATTCTACCAGAAAAAGTGACTTATAAACTAAGAGCCTCTAGAGGTCAAAAAAAGTAAATTTCTGTTTGGTTATGTTCTGCATTATATACGAAAACAATAAAATCAAACTGCTCTCCTGGCCTATAAATGGCTGTGGATGATACAATAAAATAAGAATCTGTGGAGCTTCACAAACCCTTGGAAAATAAGGGATTTCCATGTTAATTGTGTTTTTAAAAATGTTTTAGACTTGTTATAATTTCTATTATACTGAAAGTCTGGAAGGTATTACTGATACCTCTGGCCTACTTTTGCGTCTCTGCTCTGATATTTCTGTTTCCTGTGATGTTTTCATTTATGCTTGATTTTTCATTTAATGAAAGTTTGAAAAATAAAAATAAGCAACTAATGAAAACAATTACAATGGCAACTATAGTCAATTATATATTTGACAATTGGAAATACATACCTTTTCTTTTTCTGTGCACTCAATATCTCTATAAAGACATATTTCAGCATCCATGGCTTTGAAAGGGCTCTTTGGTTTGCCATCTTGCCACATAAAATATGAAAGAAAATACTATTTGCTTTCTAATACCATTTAGGAATATTAGCATTCAACTCCCAGCCTCCCACGATCCCAAACCATTAAAAATGGCAAATCTCAACTCAAGGAAAAACTAGCTAAAGAGTTATCCAGCAGGAATGAGAATGGCTTTTGATTTTCATTCATCAGTTCTGTGAGTTTCCCACATCCCTTTAAAAGGGAAAAAAAGCATAAAATGATATATATTATCTGTTCTGGCAGCACTTTGTGCTGAAGTTTATGGCTGCTTTATATTTAAGTACCAGACTAGCTGCCAAAGGCACCTAGGAATTCCATGCCAGTGAGTGCCTGGAATTCCAAGTAGTAAAGTCAATGAGCAGATGACTCTTCTCTTCTGCCAACCTGCTTGTTTTCCATGTTCCCGGCAGAGAAAGGAAAGTATCTTCCTCCACAACCAGCAAAGAAGTACATCAGGCTGGCAGAGAAGGAACAGACCACAGTCTTCCTCCTTGCCTTGGAAGAAGGCGAATATTTTTCTTAGCCTGCCTTTCCAGGCTTCCTCCAGCATAGAAGCTAGCACAGTGTACTAGGCTTTTGGCAGGTTAGTAAAAAAAAAGTGTGCGGGGTAGTAACTTCTGTGAGCTTAATTTAAAATGAGTTATGGAGCAGAAATTTAATAAGTGAACAATTTAAATACATGTGCCATGTGTAGAACGATGGGGAAGAAAACAAACACAAATCACTGCCCGTAGCAGCAGTGATGCATGTCAAGGGACGAAGTAGTAGCGGTGCTCTTCCAGTGATGGTGCTACACTCGTTGGACCAGGGATAAATAATAAATAAATTTTTATTTATACCCCGCCCTTCCCAGTTCGGAAAACGGGGCTCAGGGCGGCTAACAACAAATTTAAAACACTTAATTGTAATATAAAATAGAAGCAGCATAAAATACAGTATAAAAGCATGAATAACAATAAAATTCAAAGTTCAAAAATCAATTTGGGTGAAATCTATCCAATAAACTTTAGCTAGTCAGCAGGGGTAGCTGGCTGAATTAGTCCTACTTGGGCCAGCAAGGAGGCCAGGGGAGAATTAGCTGTGGGGTCTCAGAGCAGGTAATATTCATAAAAGCGGATGGGGAGGGAAGAGAAGGGAAATAAAAGATCAGGCTGAATTCAAATTAAAGGCCAGGCGGAATAGCTCTGTCTTACAGACCTGGCGGAAGCAGGTTAAATCCTGAAGGGCCCTAGTCTCATGGCACAGGGCATTCCACCAGGTTGGTGCCATCACTAAAAAGGCCCTGGCCCTGGTGGAGGATAGTCTTGACTTCCTTAGGGCCCGGGACCTCTAAACTATGGTTATTCATGGACCTTAAGGTCCTCTGTGGGGCATACCGGATAGGGATGTGGTGATAGTCAGATGGGGGGGGGGAGTTCTGGGTTGGAAGCATTACCCCTAGAAGGTGCATGTGCTCCTGTGGGGCTGTTGCTGCAAACCTGGAGGTTCCTGACATCACGATATTCTGTAAAGTGCAATCCTGCAGCCAGAAGGGTGCCACTTCACTCTTGCATAATGCAGAAGTATCCAAGGCCATCCTATTTATGGGAACTCCTAGATGCACCAAGCATGTGTAGGGCCATCCTGAACTTCTCGGTCTGCCATCGCTTGCATTATAAAGATCACCGCCTCCACATCCGAATACCTCATTAGAGTTGGGTCCAATGCATGCCCAGGTACGACGCAGAGCCCATTACAGAATTCACTGTTTCCCCCATGTTCCAGATGTTGATTTTCTGGAGCCCCTGACAGTTCAACAATCTACAGTTTCTAAAGCTATTTGATATTTTGAATTACCCATATCAACTTTTGATCCCAAACACTGTGTTGAAGCCATCTCCATACTTTAACACCCTCCCGAGATCTAGAAAGAAACACAATTGCAAGAAAGTTTAAAAACACATTTGCTTTTTAGCTGTTTGAAAATTCAATACAGGGATAAACAACAGCATGAACGAAGGCAAATGACTGTTTAACCTGATAAAAATCAGCAGTAGTTGAATGAAACAAAGAGACTTAGCATATGAATGTAGATATATTGCATGAATGTGAGGCATGCTAGACAGAAATGTTAGATCAATAAAACATATTTTTACATTTATCTCGCTGTGTATTATAATGAATATTTATTGCCTTCAAGGTAATGCTAAACTACCATGGGGTTGGAGAAGGGACTAAGCTGGACAATGTCCTCCCCCCTTCCAATGTTACATTTCCTTAGCTTTGTTTTAAATGAGGCGGGATGGGAAATGGCCTAGACACGCGTCAGGTGCAAGTATGAGACTCTGCTGATATAACCTTTTTCTTCCGTTATGAGAGAAAATAAAAAAGCAAGCTTTGGGCTCACACCTATTGTCTTCTACTGTACAATGTTTTCCTTGGATGACATCCCATTTTAGTCCGAACAGACCCATTAAAATCAATGGCCTGAAGTCCACTTATTTCACTGGGCTTGCTCCGAGGAAATAATACACGTACCAGTACAAATTTCGCCCGTGGGTGTAAATGCATAAGCAATCAATCCGCGGAATGTAACACGTGTACAGGCGAAGCTGCCTTGATGCATGTGCAGAGCGCTAGATGGGACGCACAGCTGGTTTCCACTTCTGAGATGAGGTCTACGGGTTTCCGGAGGAGAAAGTGACTTCTTCCAGGTAAGCAGTTTTTATTGTTATATTATTTATGTGTGGTGTTTTGGGGGAGTTTTTTTTTTTTGCAAAAACTGGGCGAAGGGAGGAACCAATGCACCGCACAGCGGCTGCATCCCAAACCTCCCCAAATGCAGCCCCTGCCCTTTCTTCGAGAAGTCTGACTTCCTCCTTACCGGAGAGCGCCCGGGCAGTCGGAGGAGGTAGCTAAAGACATGCGAGAGCCGCCACCGCAACCACGGCGCCTCCCGGGCTGTGAAGGCGGTTGGGAAGAAGAGGCGCCCCGGCAGCGCGAGGCGGGAAGCAAACGCCGCTCGGCGCCGGCGCAGCTCCGCCCACCCCCCTGCGCGGGGCCGCGCGCGCCTTGGCAGCTGGCAAGGAGCTTGCCGAGACTTTTCTTCGCGCCATCGCAAACAGCGCTGGGATGGAAGCGGAGCTGGGCTGCTCCTCCAATGCACCGACCCTGCGCACATGTTTGAGTGAAGAGTTCCACATTTGCCTCCTTCCTTCCTTCCACCCGAACATGCATAGCACTGCCGTTTTGCTTCTGACACCCTCAAAATGGTTGAGCTTCCCCCCTTTTTTTAAAGGAAACCACCAAAATTGTGAAGGCTTAACGGGAGCCAAAGCTCAGTTCCCAGGGTCTGCTTTAGATGCTACATCTAAAACAGGACATAATGAAAAGTGCCTCTGAGCATGTGCAGAATGCTATTGTACGGTGAAGTAATTGTCATCTACTCTCACATTACCAAACAAACAAACAAACAAAAACCTAGCCCAAGATTAGAGATTTTAAGCTTTTCCTGACGTATGGCAAGCCTAGTTTTACTGCCCGATGCAAATTTATCTCAGGCTTTTCCGATTGGATTGCAATCAATCGCGCTTCACACCTTGACATGTGACCCACCAGCTGAGCCTTATTGCAAGCAGATGCCCGGCCGTCACTGGGGTGTTTTTGATATTTGCATCATCCTTGGTCATTTGCCATTCTGGCTGCAGTTGATGGGAGTTGTAGCCCAAAGCATCATTTGGACTATTGGGGAGCATTAAAAATGAGATTCCCTTACCTGCAATTGAAATAGTTAGGGTCCATTCCGTATAACCACCTCAGGACTGCAGCACCTCATTTTGAATTCTGTACAGTCCAAGCCCCCCGCCCCCCCCCCCGTGTGTGTTTGCTTGTTGTGGGTGAAAACTGCCAACTAAGAGAAATGATGACGATTCCAGGAGCAAAGAGAGAGACCTTGCCCTGGGAAACTCGTGAGCATTCTCCCTGCCTTGTTGACGCTGTCTGGGCCAGTCCCAGACTTCCCAAGCTCTTTTGTATCTGTCTGGAAAGAGCAACATGGCTGGTGAGTATAAGCTCCTGCTTGAAGGCGCCCAACAGCTGGTGCTTGTCTGCACCAAAGGTGAGAAATACCTCCTGGAAGCTGGCATGCAACATCTGGCCGTGCTGGAAAACGGCAGCGTGGTGATTGGCAAGTAAGTGAATCTCCCGGGAGGGGGGCGGGTTGCCTGCTGGGGGGGGGAGTCTCTCCAGCAGAATCTCTCTCCAATGGGAAGGTTTCTGTTAGTTTGTTTTTGTACTGACCTTCTCTAAGGACAGGAAAATAAATGAAGTTTTTACAGAAAAAATAAAACAAAATTATTTTCTGTCTCTCTTCTGACAGTCACCAGCTGACCAAAACGTATACTCTTGAAATAAAAAAAAAGATTAACTTTCTTATAGCCAATGAACTAAGACAGGAGTAGGCAATCTAAGGCCCGGTGGCCGGATGTGGCCCAATCGCCTTCTCAATCTGGCCCACGGACAGTCTGGGAATCAACGTGTTTTTACATGAGTAGAATGTGTCCTTTTATTTTAAATGCATCGCTGGGTTATTTGTGGGGCATAGGAATTCGTTCATATTTTTTTTCAAAATATAGTCCGACCCACCACATGGCTGAAAAAGGTTGCTGACCCCTGAACTAAGTAGTTAGTTACTTTGGACCAGTAACAATGTGACAGTAAATGAATTTTAATTTCCTGTCTACACTGAAGAATCCAACAATGATGCTAGCTAAATAACTTACTAAAGAAGACATTGGATTAAGTTTTAAGCACATTTGCTTCAGAAAATAAGTTTTAGATCAGGGTATAAAAAGTAATTCTGTCTCACCTGCTTTGAAAGTAATGGTAAGCGTTTTGGTCGGTTTATTTTCAGAGACGGTTATATAAAGGCTGCGGGCGACTCAAGAGCCATTCGCAAGCAATTTTCAGGAGCATCTTTTGAAAAAGTCATTGATTGTTCAGGAAAATGCATCTTACCAGGTAGGTGTCTAATATTTCAGAGTTCAACACACCAAGCAGAAAGATGCAATATTTTCATAGGCAGAGATTGTCAGCTTCAGTTAGTCTAACATCCTCTGAATTATTTTCCTTTGGAATAAAATGTGATGGCTCCCCCTCTGGGCCACCTTAGCACACAGGTGGGGACAAGGAGCTGGGGAGCTTCTGAAGAAAATAAGTATTGACTGTGTACTAGAGCTCTGTGTGTGTGTGTCCCATGATTCTTTGTGGGAGGGGTGTGCTTTAAACATATGGTGTGTACACAGCCATTAGCCTGGATTTTGAGAGACGTAAGTCTATGACCCTACTGCTTTCCAAAGTGCTGTTTGATGTAGCATGGACAATGGGACAGCCCCACATAATTTGCTAGTAATGGGTATACTGAATCAGTACAACTTGCGACTGAAGTTTAAGCAAAGCTCTGTTTAGAAATAAGGTTGTCAGTCACCATATCTTATCAAAAAAGTCTGTGCAAGTTAGTGCCTAACATAGGGTTGCCGTATTCCCCAAAGTGAAAAGTGAGCTTGGGGGGGGGTCAAAGTTATGGAGATTTTTAGGGGAACATCTCCCTTCCCTCAAACAATTATTAAGTTTTGGGCTGCTTTTTGCAATTACAGCCACAAATCTTTCAGGATGACCTTCAGTTGCTGCCTCGCAGTCTCTCCCAGCCTGAGCTACCTCACAGGCTTCATGTGAAGATAAAGGGGAAGGGGCTTCGTACGCTTCGCTGAGTTTCTTGCAGGAAAGGTGCAGTTTAGCAGATCCTGATCCTGCTTTGGTGCGTGTCAACAGCAGTACGGCTTGCAGAAATTAAGCATCCGATGCTTTCCCCCCCCTTTTTTCGTTTTCCCTTTTGGAAAGTGAGGGGTGGAGAAAATGTCTGTTGCTCAATGTTTGTATTTCAGGCAGCTTTTGAAGGCACAGGGTCAATGACATAAAATAAAAGACCAAGCTCCCACCTGGAAGCATTCCAGTCAAAATCCCAGGAAATCTCGAGAGAAAGAGTATGTGAAGAGTCCTGCTGAATCTGATTTCAGGTTTCATCTTGGCTAGGTCTGGGTTTCTCTCGGTAGCCAGCCCAATACGATGAAGCAGCCAGCAAAGCAGAAAGTGGCACACATGGTTCTCCCCTTCTTCTTCTTCTTCTTTTCATCATCACAACAACCCTGTGATGTATGTTAGCCAGAGGGATGGTGAACAACCCAGTGAGCTTTATGTCTGACAGGGAATTTGAACCCTGGTCTCCCAGGACCTAATCCAGTGCTCTAACCACTATGCCACACTGGCTCATAATAGCATTTTATATACGGAAGGATCATGCCTTTTGATAATGTTTCTCCAAGGGCACATAGATAAAATTATTAACTGCTAATGTTTCCTGATTTTGTTTCCTAGTGGATATGTCTGAGATCGTGCAGTTTGCTGTGTTTGTTTTGGTTTGTTTTTTAAAAAAACAGGTCTGGTAGATGCACACACACATCCTGTATGGGCTGGTGACAGAGTCCATGAGTTTGCAATGAAGGTAAACTTACATACTGTAATTGCAAAGGATTTCTTTTACCTGCGTCTACCTTCCTTTACTGTAGATTAAAGTTTCCATAAACTGTTGGCTCTGACCTTTAAAGCCCTAAATGGCCACGGTCCTGTATACCTGAAGGAGCGTCTCCACCCCCATCGTTCACCCAGACACTGAGATCCAGTAGCGAGGGCCTTCTGGCAGTTCCCTCATTGCGAGAAGTGAGGTTACAGGGAACCAGACAGAGGGCCTTCTTGGTAGTGGCGCCCGTCCTATGGAAAGTCCTCCCATCAGATGTCAAGGAAATAAGCAACTATCCTATTTGAAGGCAGCCCTGTTTAGGGAAGTTTTTAATATTTAATGCTGTATTGTTTTTAACACTCAATTGGGAGCTGCCCAGAGTGGCTGGGGAAACTCAGCCAGATGGGCGGGGTATAATATTATTATTATTATTATTATTATTATTATTATTATTATTATTATTATTTTCTCTTCTTCTGTAAAAGGCGCAAATATCTTCATTCCAGCCCCTTCTCGGGTGCAAATCGATCTCTAATAAGAACATAGGAAGGAATCTGCCTTACGCAGAACCAGATCATTGGCTCATTTAGCTCAGTAGTGTCTAATGTGACCCTCATTGTTGTTCCATGGTTTCAGAAAGGGCTGTCTCTACCGGGAGATGCTAGGAATTCAACCTGGAAACTTCTGCATTCAAAGCAACTGTTCTGCCACTGAGCTGTGATCCTTCCCCTACCAGGGCACTTTTGGAGAGCCATTGGACTTCTGGGATTTCATTGCATGAGGGGTATAGTTTGCCCATTAATGCATGTTTAACAGATAACTTTGTTTTAAAGTTGGCAGGAGCTTCCTATATGGATATTCATCAAGCAGGAGGAGGGATACATTTCACTGTGGAGCACACTCGGAATGCCTTAGAAGATGAGCTCTTCAGCAGCTTCAGGCACCGGCTGCTACGCATGCTCAGAGCAGGCTCCACTTTGGTCGAATGCAAAAGTGGATACGGGTTGAACCTGGAAACAGAAGTTAAGATGCTGAGAGTGATTGAACGGGCTCGGCGGGAGTTGGACATAGGCATTTCCTCTACTTACTGCGGAGCTCATTCTGTTCCTAAGTAATGTACCTATTCTCTCTTGTCATTTTAAGCGCTGTGCTAGAACACAATTGAAGATTAATTGGGTCACACATTGAACAGACCTTCTGCAAAACAGAACATACCTAATTCTTGCAGCGTTTCTGTTTGCCATCTACTATTAGAGTGGTGTGTGGAAGTGCCCCAAGAGAGTATTCAAGCATAATGAAGTCTGAGGGAGAGTGGAAAGCCTGAGATGTGCCTGACATTTCCTGTAAAGCATCTGAGGGAGAAGAATTATTATTATTTAATTCAGATGTGACGGAGGAGAACACAGCGAGAGGAAGTT